CATAGTAATCTCATAATGTAACTTTTGATTCAACACTACTCCATTCTTCAGTGTTTACCTTAAGCAAATCAGCCCAACGTGACTCCAATTATAACTTCTTCCCATACTCCGTGCTGCGGGAACCAAATGGATTAGCTGAAAGGTCCTGTACCATGTGTGGCTAGAGCAAATTTCACCCTGCAGTCCTTAAGTGGCCAGAGGGACAAAGCTGAATAGAAGAGGGAATATTTCTGTCTTAAAAGGCAAAATATACTTGCAAAAAACTTGGCAAAATTAAACCAACCCAAATTTTTGCGACCTACATCAGGAAAGAACAAGGATGGAAGGAGAAGAGGAGCAGATGGCAGAGAACATCTCTGGGCTACCAGGGCTCTACAGGTGTTTTCCAGGCACAAGACACCGGAGCTCAAGCACTAGGGATGTCTGCTAAGGTGTCCACGAGGTCTGAGAAAAGCAGCCCCAGTATCCATAACCCTGCAGTAGACAAGGGATAATTTTACCAGCATCTGGCAAAATATCAGGTGGTTTTACCAAAAATGTTTGAAATGGGCTCCTTGAGCAGCAATGTAAGTTCCCTACAGATCCATTTCCAAAACCTGCAGCCCACAGTGGATTCACCGGTGTCTGCTAAGGAGAAAGGTCATGCCGCACTTCTCCCAGGTGTGGGTCACGAAGAGAAGCTCTCCTCTTTGCTTAGCCACCATTTGCATGACACTTAGGGAAACACGCATTTGAGGCTTTTATTTCATTCCTCCTAGCTATACTTGATTTAAAATCACCAACAGGTTGAACAGATTTAAAGGGAAGGGAAAAAAACAGGGAGCAGCAGGCTGCAGAAGCCTCATTTGCTTAGGACATGAGGTGAATATTGGGGAGATTCAACGAATGTATCTATATAGTGACAACCAATGTCACTAAGGACATAAAACCCAGGGTAAACGGCCTGTAGAATGTATTTCTATTCTGAAGTACAATTCCTCCTAGAATAAGACTTAAATTACTTAAACTTGAATTACTTTGAGAAAGGGATACAGGAATGAAAGAACAACAGTGAGAATCTTGCTAGTCATCAACAGACGCACAAAAAGAGGTACAGGAGCTCTGTCAGCATGGCCCAAAGTACTGCTCTGAAATCAGCATTAAAAGACCTGCAGACGGGAAAGACAAGTCCCCAGAAATGCACCCAGTCGCTGCGCTGCCTCCTGCACGGCACAGCCTGACATTTCATTAGATGGAATCGGCTGCCTTGAAATGCGTCAGATTTCACCCCTGTCCCTACCAGTAAGCAGCCTTCGAACACAACTGCATCAGCTTTGTATGCCACCAGAAATACGAACACCGGTTGCCGATGATTCCCAGAAGAGGTTTGGCCAGTGTGGGAAGCTTGCCTGGCTCCGCCGGGACACGCAGGTCACCTGGCGTGCTCTTACGTGACAAGATCAGAATAAACCTTTAAATGTCTGCACCCTGGGTGAAAAGATTCAGGCTTGAAAGCAGGAGGGTTGTTTTCTGTGAACACTCTGCCACATCCGTAGGAACGCAGAACGTCTCTGGTGTATGCTCCTGGCTGCAGCAACTCGCTGGGAGACGTGCAGAAAGGATCACGAAAGGGTATTGACTTAAATGAACTTGCTTAAAACCTCAAGTTGCCCTGAAACAACTCTACAAAGGCTGCAGAAAGTAGGTGCAGTCCAGATTCATCTTTTACTCCGAGATTATGCTGAGTCATCTAAATGGAGTACAGTTCGTTCATACTTCTGAAGCTGTTACATAAATAACCCTACTTCCTTTTGTTGGCACAGATCTCTTAAAATATACACTCACGAATGCGAACAGCAAGCTCACCTCCCTACTGCTATCATTAAACAATAACGAGGAGCACGACTGTTAATCAAAAGCAGACGCCAATACAAAATCCTCTCAAAACCAGACTGGCCCACTTAAAACATATATCCCTGACAAGTTTCCAACTGCTGCAATATCCTAATGCAAGTTCCATTAAAAATACAGCTATTCCCACAACGATCCTGTGTTTCCTTTGCTAGTGACACTCCGCTACCGTGTAGTTCTTCAGGACAGCTTTGTGGATTACTTCTGCAAAAAAAACCCCTTTCCATCTTTACACCCAGTAGGCAGCATGGGCGAGTCCTCCAGCCACCTTTGAAAACTGAGGGAAGGTGCAAAACCAGTCCCTTATCTCTCTGCTTGTTGACCAAGATCCTGCAAGTCAAAGAAAATGCCTCAGTCTTGCATAAATTAGCAATGAATGCTTGAGGACGAAGAATTCCATTCTTCAAAATCTTCTGAATCAAACCGATTTAGCTGTCTGACAGAAGTGATGTGGGCAGTGAGCGATTTCTTTCTTCTTGTAGGTATTCCGGGTGCTATGCACCAACAGAAACGTTTTCTGAACCGGGTGCTGCATTCTCTGTTGGCTTTCGGAGATCTCCTGACATCATGAGGATGCCAGATATGTGGTTTGCTCGTGTTGGGGTTTTTTGGTGGTTGGGGTTTTTTTTGGTAAATGTTTTACATATGGGCAAAAAAGATGGAAAAAATAATAATTTCTTGTAACCACGTTTACATTTGGAATAAAAGCCGTGTTAACTCTTAACACAACTTTGCCCTCACGAGAGACGCAGCCTTGCCAGCCCTGGATAAGCTCTTAACCTCTAAAACAACTCTTTGTCATAATAATTGCAGCTAGCATAGCAAATTTTAAAGCCAGAAATCCTCAGCGTACCTCCAAAATAGATCAAGAGGCTTTATTAAGCACAAGATTGAGGTTCTCATAAGGGTTCTTTTTAACACAGAAACGTTGAGAATGACCACGGCTTTGCAAGCAAGTGAACACAAAGGAGCGAACCCAACGCACACCCAGCTCTGGTTTTGGACCTTTCTAAATTTGCAAATTCCTGAAGAATTTTAAGTCAATGTACAGATATCTTAAAAAAATTCACATATGCTGACGGATTTATACCCCTATTTTTGGCAGCCACATTTCAGGGGCCTATAACAGCAATCTACGTACACTATAGTAGTCAGTGGATCATGGGCTGAAAATCCCTGAGTAAGGCTCAGTGGGCCAAAAAACTAATTAATCCAGAGATGGATGGCTTTGATTTGATCCATTCACATATTCCTCAGTCTTCACAGAAGACCAGGGAAGGGCAGGGTAAACCTTCATCTGAAGGCTCCAAGAGGCAAAATAAGGCTCTCCAGGAGAACAAAAAGCAACAAAGCAACAAAGCAGGGAAGACTGGAAAAGCACATGAATGAAGCCCACTCAGAAGGCAACTTTAAAAAAAAAAAAAAATCTAATCACTCATTTAGATTTCATGAGAAGGACTTGTTCCAAAGAGGTTTGATCAGAGCATGGGGGGCAGCATGGCAGCCACCCACCTCTGCAGCACAAGGGGATTCGTCGCTGCCAGGCTGCAGAGCTCCCACAATCAAGTAACAGCCCAGCGACACCTAGAACCCTCTTGGAGGGGTAGAGGGGACCCTTCTGTACTGGTACATTTCCTTCCCTGTAGACTGCAGCAAGAGGCCTCATTCAGCACTTTCTGCAGTCGAGGTCGGAAAGACGAGGCAGACTTGGAGTGCAGCCACATCCCTCCGATCCACAGGTACAGCAAGTCCCAGGTATGAGCGACAGCACTGCAATAGCTCTGTAGGCTTTCTGGGAAAGAATTCCTGTTCAAACTGATACTTTCCTTGAACACTTTCTGCAAATGGCCTACGGAGAAGAGAAAACCGCAGGTGTACGCACCACAAACCAGCTCAGTGAGTGGTTTCCTGCACATCTAAAACCCAGGCATATGCGATTAGTAGAGGCTCAGAAGCCAGTTTCAACACCTCAGATCCGAGGGGCTGTGGGATCTTAACACTGTCATAAACCTTCAGATAATTCAGATGACAAAGTGGAAAGAGGGAGAACAGAGTTCAGCTTAGGGCCTCTCAAGAAAACTGCTCAATTTTTCTGTGAAACAGAACAGCAATTTCTCCTTAACCTTGTCTGAAAACTGCTATTGTACAGTATAATTAGAAATAATCTTATTTGCCTCAAAATTTCTTCCATCTCTGATTTTTTTAAATCAGTTTTATAGCCCTGTAATACTATTCTGTACTTGGGTCTAAATGACATGACAATTCATTGGCCACATTGCACAGAATGAAAATCAACCCAAAAAACAGGGAATGAGGTCTTTGGTATCATCATACTGTGATGATTAACAAAAGCAAGAAAAACTAAACACACAGACACAAAAAAAAACCCACTTTATCTTCTTTTTAGAGGTGGATGGGCTAATCAAATCCTGCAAGATTTCTAACTAAGCCTGTTACTGGATCTCATCAAACTAAATGAGCAGAACTTGGATGGCAAAGCAAGCTTACAAGAGGGAAGTTCCTTAAGTCAGAATCATCAAGATTTGGCTTCTGGAGCTTTACTTTCTGTTCTACTGGCTTACGGCATAGCAGAAGTACAAATAAGGCAGAACAAAAAGCTTAAAAGGCAATGAGGAGAATAACACAACTTCGAAGGCACACACTGCTCATTTGACAATTCCCAGCATCCCATAAACACCAAAAAGCGATTTAGGCAGTGACCTTCAAAAAACTGGATTCCTTTACCCAGGGACTACGTATTCAAGGTCAAAGTTTCACCAGACTCCAGCCTGCAGGAGTGGCACATGAGCTGTTCAGCTGTAACTCCATAATGACAGGAGACAGCCGAGATCTGCCCAAATCACGTTACAGCTCTGATCATGCAAAACACAACGGTTCTGCATTTCCTGACAGCAAGACTACTTCAGAGTGCAGCTTGAAGATATCTGCTGTAAGGTTTCTGAAAACAGGCAATTAAAACAACAAGAGAAAGACTAGTTTATTACCCTACTCATACTTGGTAAAGAATACTTCGTGACAAATTACATCTACGAACGTGTCAACGGCTGAATATAAACACTGAGAAGATTTTTGTAAAACATAACTCATACCGTCAGGGAGTTGTTTACAGGACAGAGCATCGTCAAGATCTTTGGCAGTTGAGGGGTCGATGGTGAAAATGCATTCTTTCCTATCCAAGGAAAAAAGAAGAAAAGAAAGATTTATTTTCCAGTCATGAAGGTGGTACCAAAACACAGAGACCATCAGAGACATCCAGACAACAACCACCACATTTGCAGAGGACTCTGTGGAAACATCTT